AAGAGCAACCACCCTCTCAATTACCTTGCTCAAAAATGGTAACAAAGAAGCAGGCCTGTAGTTACTCATATCCAGGGGCTCCAGGGAAGGTTTTTTCAGAAGCGGCCTAACAGCTGCTTCCTTTAAACAGGATGGAACATGTCCTTCCCTGAAGGATGCATTGATGATATCCGTGAAGAATCTCAATGAACAGAATACTTACAAATGTTGGGAGGTATACATGGCAAATATATTATATTACTGCCCTTACAATAAGATTAACAACTTCACCACAGTTGTCGAGAAATGGGTTCCTATGATCTAGAATGATTTTCCTCATCTTGGAAACAATGGCAAGCACCCTAGAGAATGGGGTCTTCAGGGATTATCTTTCACTGGGGAATGAGAAATGGTTATGTTCAATCACAGTTGTGGGTTCTTAAGGCTGCACTGCTTATTCTACTTTTCACATTTTTATTAGTCACTTTTTACAACAGTTATCATACTTGTAAACACACTTTGTATTACTGTGAAAGGGATCTTGAAGTGCTTTTGACACTAACTGAGAGAAAGAGATTGGTAGCATAAACCTTTGTAGACTAAGGGCCTGTACAGACTACCAGAAATAATCCAGCTTGAGACCACTTTAACTGTCCTGGCTCAATGCTAGGGAATCATGGGAACTGTAGGGTTTTTTTTTCCTGAGAGACATTGAGCCTTCTCTGTCAGAGAGCTCTGGTGCCACAATAAACTACAGTTCCCATGATTTCCTAGCATTGAGCCAGGACAGTTAAAGTGGTCTCTAAGTCTACTTCATCAGATGCAACTGCTTTAGTCAAGAATTTGACTGTATCTGCACAGGACATATAACACATCTTCCCTCCATTCTTACAGTGATCCGTTCAGAAAATGGAAGGCTCAATCCCCAATTCTGGTGAAAACTGTCCTAATGATGTATCTCCAGTTCAGCATTGAATCTGCATTTACCACCAATAAAATGGATTTTAAGACCCATTTTTTGCTCTGGATTTTCCGAGAATATCTGT